TAGCTGCAGCCGAAGCGTCATGGACGATCCCACCCTGTTTGTTTACATCGTCTGTTACCGCCTTCGTTTTCTTCATTCTCGTTTTTGTTTTTTTTTGCATTCGGTTTTGTCTTTGCTTTTTCTAGTGTTTCTTATGTTTCTGCTTTCTAACTTCGTGCCTAGTGTTTGTTTCCTCCCATTCAGCAATAATGGGCGGCTGCTGTGGAGCTTCGAACGAGCTCGAGGGCATCTTCAGTCACTCAAGCTTCAACCGATTGAAAGCTATTGTAAGCCTTTGAATCGCTTCTTGAATCACCCCGTTTGTTCCAATTTCGTTTTCATTTTCGCATTCCGTTTTGACTTTTTTTTTTTTTCTCTTGTTTTCCATCGTGTTTTTGTTTACTAACTTAGTGCCTAGTGTATGTTCCCGTCGTTTCAGCATCTACGGTTTCACGTGGCTTCGCTCTTCACGGCGGATGGCTTCACTCTTCATGGCGGATGGCTTCACTCTTCTCGGCGGGCTTGAAAATCCAACTATTCGAAGGCTTAAGTAAGCTCTTTTTAAGGTTCATTTTCGTTCTGGTTTACCATTTTTTAGCTCTGTTTATGATCCGATTAAGTTCCCTTTGAGCTCTCTTCATTTCTGTAGTTGCTAATACTTCGTTTTTGTTCTGTGCAGGCATGGAGGCACATCCCCTTGGGAGCGTGGCTACAACGGATCTCTATGGGATCGTGGCTTCAGCTTGGTGAAGGCACATCCCCTTGCAGCGCGGCGGACCTCCAAGGGAGAACGCCAGGGAGTGGCGAAGCTTCAAGGGAGATGAAGCTTGAAGCTCCGACCATGCCAAGGCCAACGTAAGCTCTCTCCTTGGCTTGGTTTAAGTTCCGCTTCAGCTCCGTTTCACTGATGTTTAAGCTCCGTTTTACTTGTGTTTAAGCTCTGTCTGAATTTTGGTTGAAGTTCCTTTCTAGCTATAGTTGCTAATACTTCGCTTTTGTCCTGTGCAGGCATGGAGGCGCATCCCCTTGGGAGCATGGCTACAACGGATCTCTATGGGATCGTGGCTGCAGCTTGGTGAAGGCGAATCCCCTTGCAGCGCGGCAGACCTCCAAGGGAGAACGCCAGGGAGTGGCGGTTCTCCAAGGGAGAATGCCTTGGAGTGGCGAAGCTTCAAGGGAGATGAAGCTTGAAGCTCCGACCATGCCAAGGCTAACGTGAGCTCTCTCCTTTTTGCTTGGTTAAGTTCTGCTTAAGCTCCGTATTACTTGTGTTTAAGCTCTGTCTGAATTTTGGTTTAAGTTCCTTTCTAGCTATAGTTTCTAATACTTCGATTTTATTCTGTGCAGGCATGGAGGCGCATCCCCTTGGGAGCGTGGCTACAACGGATCTCTATGGGATCGTGGCTGCAGCTTGGTGAAGGCGCATCCCCTTGCAGCGCGGCGGACCTCCAAGGGAGAACGCCAGGGATTGGTGGTTCTCCAAGGGAGAACGCCTTGGAGTGGCGAAGCTTCAAGGGAGATGAAGCTTGAAGCTCTGACCATGCCAAGGCTAACGTAAGCTCTCCTTTTTGCTTGGTTTAAGTTCTGCTTGGTTTTACTTGTGTTTAAGCTCTGTCTGAATTTTGGTTTAAGTTCCTTTCAATCTATAGTTTCTAATACTTCGCTTTTGTCCTGTGCAGGCATGGAGGCACATCCCCTTGGGAGCGTGGCTACAACGGATCTCTATGGGATCGTGGCTGCAGCTTGGTGAAGGCGCATCCCCTTGCAGCGCGGCGGACCTCCAAGGGAGAACGCCTTGGAGTGGCGGTTCTCCAAGGGAGAACGCCTTGGAGTGGCGAAGCTTCAAGGGAGATGAAGCTTGAAGCTCCGACCATGCCAAGGCTAATGTAAGCTTTCTCCTTTTTGCTTGGTTTTAGTTTCGCTTAAGCTCCGTTTTACTTGTGTTTAAGCCCTTTGGATTTTGATTTGGATTATAGTTGCTGATACTTCGTTTTTGTTCTGTGCAGGCATGGAAGCACATGTAAAGCCGTCACCACACTCGTGAAGCCTCTACCACACTCGTGGAGCCGCCACCACACTCGTGGAGCCGCCACCACACTCGTGCAGCCGCCACCACACTCGTGCATCCGCGATGTCGCTATCTGCACCTGTGAAGCCGCCAGGATGCGTCTGTGAAGCCAAGGGAGCAGCTGTGAAGCCACTTGGAGGCCACGGTAAGCTTCTTCATCCTTGACCTCTTGAGCACCTTACCCATATCAGCTTTATTGCTTGCTATGCCGATTTCCTTCTCCGTTTTCAGCCTTCCTTCATTCAGTACTAATATGTTTTAATTGGTTTTGTGCAGATCTTAAAGAAGCTGCCAAGGAGCCACGTACGACTCAGCGGCCTAAGGAGCAGCCTATGACTCAGCAGCCTAAGGAGCGGAATCAGCTGCCTAAGGAGCAGCAGCCTACGACTCAGCAGCCCAAGGATCAGCAGTCTACGAATCAGCAGCCCATGGAGCAGATTACGACGCAGAGCAGCCCTGAACCCCTGAACCCTGAAGGGTTGAAGCAGCAGTTGTAGACAAGGGGAGATGCGGCCTGGTTGAGAGGAGAGGTGAACCCTGAACCCCTGGAGGCAGAGTACGGGCTGCGGAAGCGGTTGCTGGGCTGCGGGAGCGGAGTAATTGCTGCAGAAACGGATTAGGCGCTACGGAAGCTGAGTAGGGGCTGCGGAAGCTGAGTAGGGGCTGCGGAAGCTGAGTAGGGGCTGCGGAAGCTGAGTATGGGCTGCGGAAGCTGAGTAGGCGCTGATGAAGCGGAGTATGGGCTGTGGAAGCGGTTGCTGGGCTGCGGAAGCGGAGGCCGGGCGCGAGGTATGTGGCGAAGCAGTCTACAGGGAAGCAGCGTAGCACCGAACAGGGACGGAGCGTAGCAGCCTACAGGGAAGCAGCGTAGTCAGAGGCTGGGCTGCGGAAGGAGGCTGGGCTGCAAGGAGTAGACGGAGGAGGAGGCTGCGGAAGCGGTTGCTGCGGAAGCGCAGGCTTGGCGGGATGGATGTGGCAAAGCAGTGGAGGGATGTGGGGAAGGGTTGCGCGGATGGTGGCTAGATGGGAGCTCAAGGGTGGCCTAAGAGGTGGCTGAGTCTAGCGAGCTCAGCCGGTCCTAAGGCGAGTGGCGCGGTGTGGGTGTGGCCTCGGCGGTGATGTGATGGAGGACGGGCCGGTGCTTGGTTCTGGCAGTGCAAAGTCGCCCGGGAGGCTTTGCACTGCCTGGGCCCAGAATCAAGCAGACCGGGTACCTTACCCTCCAGGTAGCATCACTGTCGGGGTTACACTTGCACCACAAGGTCAGCACCGCACCGGGGTGGGTGCGGGGGACTTGAGTCACTCTCAAGAGAAGGGAGTCCGCACTGGCGAGGGTGCGGAGATCTTCTCTTACCTCTGAATGATGAGTCCACACTGGCGTGGGTGTGGAAATACTCATTCTAGGCCCACCTAAGGGTTTCCGTTTAGGAGGCTTGCGGTTTCACTTAAAGCCTCGGAGCTTTCTCACACTGGCGTGGGTGTGGGGGGTTCGTCACTTGATGCGTCAGCCTGGAGCCACAGGGAGAGAGGGATGGAGCAGTGGAGTGGAGCAGCCGCCTGATGCAGCAGCCGCCTGATGCAGTCAGGGGGAGCAGTCGCCTGGAGCAGTTAAGGGGAGATGCCGCCTGGAGCAGTTAAGGGGAGATGCCGCCTGGAGCAGTTAAGGGGAGATGCCGCTTGCAGACAAGAACCCCGAAACCCTGAAGGGAGAAGCTGCCCCTGGTGCAGAGAGGGGAGAAGCCGCCTCCTGGTGCAGAGAAGGGAGAAGCCGCCTCCTGGTGCAGAGAGGGGAGAAGCCGCCTCCTGGTGCAGAGAAGGGAGAAGCCGCCTCCTGGTGCAGAGAAGGGGAGTGGAACCTCTAAACCCTGAAGGGGAGAGCAGCCGCCTGGTGCAGAGAAGGGGAGAAGAACCCCAAACCCTGAAGGGGAGTAGCAGCCTGATTCAGAGGAGAAGGTGTGAAGCAGCCTGGTTCAGAGGAAGGGGTGTAGCCGCCTGGTGCAGAGGAGAAAGGGAGAAGCCACTGCCTCATCTAGAGAAAGGGAGAGGAAGCAGTAGCAGCCTGGTGCAGAGAGTTGGGAAGCTGCTAAGGGATGGAGTTGGGAGTTGGTGTGCAGCAGAAGTGACGTGTATCAAAAGCGACCATGGAGGTTTTTTAGCCGAGCGTACGGCACGCCCCTCATCTTGAGGAAGTCAGCCCGTCGGCATCCAAGGGGATGCGGCGGGACGGATTTTTTGATCCATGGTTTGCACACGCGCTGAACCAAAAAAAAAAAAAAAACATGGGAGTGGTGTGGAATTAGTGTTGGAGAGCTGACATACCTGAGGTAGACTTCGTAGCCTTAGTGTTGTACAGCTTGTACCAATTATGATTGGAGATTGACCAGTGCTCAAATGTTCTTGTGAGCAAGCACCATCCTTTGTACAGTAAGAGCAAGTGTGATCCCTTGTACAGTAAGAGCAAGCACTATCCCTTGTACAGTAAGAGCAAGCATTATCCCTTGTACACTAAGAGCTAGCATGATACCTTGTACACCCTTGTACAGTAAGTGCAAACATTAACCCTTGTACAGTAGCAAGCATGATCCTTAGTACAGTAAGAGCAAGCATGATTCGTTGTATTGTACCCATTCAATTTCCTCCCTACTGACATCCAACCACATGGTGGAAAACCAACCAGGCATTTAATACAACCTCCAGTTCCGTAACATACAAACAGATCTAGTGGGACCACACAAGACAAGCTGGATTGAGAAACAGTAGTAGGACCACAGTAGTAGTCCTTGTACAGTTCTACGAGGATGCAGAGGCGAGTCAACAATGGTTCTAGCTCCGAGCAGCTCCGAGCTACCAAGTGCTGCAGAGTCAACAAAAAGGCACTTCCAAGTCCTCGGTTTAAAGTTGAGTGCCATTTAAAGTCGGGTGCCATTCGAATCAGCTCTGCCAGGAGGCGGAGTCAGCTCTGCCAGGAGGCGGAGTCAGGCAGAGCAGGCACGCTCCTCAGCAGCCGCTCCAACTCATCGTTCACCTCCGCCTGCTGCTTCCACTCCTGGTGGTGGAGGGGTGAGTGGAAGGAGTGAAAGGGAGGGGGAGAAGGGACACAGGGAAACAGTGCATCACTTCTCAGCAGCCGCTCCAACTCATCGTTCACCTCCGCCTGTTGCTTCCACTGCTGGTGGTGGGGATGGAGGAGGGGAAAAGGGGGGGTTGGGACGCAGGGAAACAGTCGGGAGCGACGCTCACTGATCTAGCCTCTCGCTATGAAGGGACATAGTGCTAGGCCCGTACTGCAGGCTCTCCACCTCCATCCGCCACTCAATCTTATCTGCCAGAGCTCACCCTCACCTCACAGCTCTGACCTTGCATCCCCCACAAGTCCTGCCTCTGCACGCTCACCTTCTGCACGCTCACCTTCTGCAGGCTCTCCACCTCCATCCGCCACTCGACCTGGTCTGCCAGACCTCTCAGCCCTGCCACCTCACAGCACTATGTCCCTCACAGCACTATGTCCCTCACAGCACTATGTCCCTCACAGCACTATGTCCCTTCATCTCCCACTCCCCACACCGCCTGACAGCAATAATTCCTGCCCTGTGCCTCACCTTCTGCAAGCTCTCCACCTCCATGAGCCGCTCAATCTGGTCCGCTATGCTCGCCTGCTCTCAGACACACAGCACAGTACCACGGCTCACAGCATGGCACACAGCATGGCACACAGCATGGCACACAGCATGGCACACAGCATGGCACACAGCATGGCACACAGTGGCGCACAGCATGGCACACAGCATGGCACACAGCATGGCACACAGCATGGCACACAGCATGGCATACAGCATGGCACACAGTGGCGCACAGCATGGCACACAGCATGGCACACAGCATGGCACACAGCATGGCTCACAGCATGGCACACAGCATGGCTCACAGCATGGCACACAGCATGGCAGCATGGCACACACACACACACGGAGGTCAGTAAGGGATGCACTAAGGACTGCAGTGAGAAACAGGAAGGGCAGAAGAGGAAGAAAAACCAACAGACCGAGGGGAGTTGGACTCACCGCAGCGCCTGCTGCCTCTGCTGTGGGCACGTCTGCATCCATCTCCACCTCTATCTCTATCATTGATAGCACCTGCGGTCAGAAGGGCAGGGCAGGGGGGAGGGCAGGGTGGAGGGGGGTGGAGGGCACAATAGGAAGGAGTGGAAGTTACTCTGATCTAGCATACCCCGTCTAGTCCCGGCTGCCTGTGCCATTGGCACGTCTGCATCCATCTCGATCAGTGACAGCACCTGCAGACAAAGGGATAGGGCAGAGGGGCATGGTGGAGTGGCAGGGTGTGAGTGGGTGGAGAACACAAAAAAGCAGGGCAGGGAAAAGTGTGCCATTCTGGTTCATAAAGCATGTCCATTCTGGCCCGAGAGTTCCGGGTTTTGATTATTGGAAATCCATCTGCTGAGACTCTGGCATCACCTTCATCTCTGCATCTGGCAGGAAGGGCGTGGCAGCAAGCAGTGAATCCATTGGCAGGCAGTGAATCCATTGGCAAGCAGTGAATCCATTGGCAGGCAGTGAATCCATTGGCAGGCAGTGAATCCATTGGCAGGCAGTGAATCCATTGGCAGGCAGTGAATCCATTGGCAGGCAGCAATCACCCGTCTATGTTCGGAAAGACGCAGCTAGGACGCAGGACGCGCGTCCAGACGCAGGACGCACGTCGAAAAAATTTTCGGGCAGCCCGAAAAAAAAATCGATTGCGATTTTGGCATTCGCGATTTCGACGCGAATGTCGAAATCGCGAAATTTCCCCACCCCAAGCCCAATTCGCCATTCAAAACCAGCCCCCCTAACATTCCCTAACAACTAAACCAAAATTGAATTTCACTCAAACCTCTCAACCACTTAGCATCTACGAATCCCAACCTTTGTAGACCACCACCACCAAGCACATTTAGCATGGCAACCTTTTGTGGCTTCTCATTTTCCCTTCACCAATTCTCTTTCGTAAACCCATAGAGGTTTTAGGTCTTAGCTTAGCTTACCACCTAAACTCCGCTATGGCTTCCTCGACCATTCCTTCTTCTTCCACCGCGTCTAAGAGTGTTGAAAATTTTGTGGTTGGGGAAATTTTGTGGTATGACACCCCCCCGCCCCCCCTCTCCCAAGCCCTATACAATTTTTTTGGCCTGCCCGGGGGTTTTTTTTGCCCTGCCCGGGCTTGCGTCTTTTGGTGCGTCTTACAGGTCAAGGGTCAGCGTCCTGCGTCTGGACGCATGCGTCTGGACGCATGCGTCCAGGACGCAGGACGCGTCTTTCTGAACATAGTCACCCGTGCACATGGCGCCGACTCGTGGTGCTATATTGGCATGGCTGTTACCAAGGTTGATTTGTGACCGATTCTTTTATTTTCGTGGTCAGAAGCAACTCAGCTTACCTTGGCGTAGCTGTCCACGAGGTTGATTCGCGCCAGCAGCCGCTGGTCCAGCCCCTTGCGTGCTGCCACCACCCTCTCCCACCGCGCACTGCCATGCACGCATAGGAAGAGCGTGGAGGAGCATGGGGGACAGGAGGGAGTGGCGCAGCGTAGTGGGGGTAGAACGGGGTATGAGGGGGAAGGCCATGCAAATTGTTAATCCAGCCCCTTGCGAGCTGCCACCACTCGCTCCCACTGCGCACTGCCATGCCATGCCATGCATGCATGCATAGGAACATGGTGAATGAAGGGCAGGAGGAGCATGGGAGTGGGCATCATAAGGGGGATAGAAGGGGATCTGAGGGGGGGAAGTGCTGGTGCAGCCCCTTGCACGCCGCCACCACGCTCTCCCCCCGCGCACTGCCATGCATAAGGAGGAGCGTGGAGGATGGGCAGAAGCATGGGGGATGGGGCAGCATGATGGGGTATGAGGGGGGTATGCGGATGGAAAGACCATGCAAATTGCTGGTGCAGCCCCTTGCATGCCGCCACCACTCGCTCCCACCGCGCACTGCCATGCCATGCGTGCATAGGAACAGTGTGGATGAAGGGCAGGAGGAGCATGGGGAAAGTGTGGAAGCATGTTGCGGATAGAAGGGGATATGAGGGGGGGAAGTGCTGGTCCAGCCCCTTGCGTCCACGCCGCCACCACTCTCTCCCACTGCGCACTGCCACGCATAGGGGTAGAGTCGAGGAGCACGGGGTGACAGTTGGGCAGCATGAGGGGGGTATGAGCGGGGTATGAGGGGGGTATGAGCGGGGTATGAGGGGGGTATGAGCGGGGTATGAGCGGGGTATGAGCGGGGTATGAGGGGGGTATGAGCGGGGTATGAGCGGGGTATGAGGGGGGAAGTGCTGGTGCAGGCCTTTGCCCGCCACCTCTCTCTCCCCCCCGCACAGCCCTGCATAGGACGAGAGGGCACGGGATATTTGGGGGACAGGAGAAGTAAGGACTGGGGCAGCGTAGAGATGAAATGATAGACATAGGACGATGGGGAGTGCGAGTGCAAAGCGCCTGATAAACCTTGGGGGACGAGTTCACTGAATAGGATGGTTCAATGCACCGGCCTGGTACACCTGTAGGTGACGTGGCCCACCTGTAGGAGACGTGGCCCACCTGTAGGTGACGTGGCCCACCTGTAGGTGACGTGGCCCACCTGTAGGTGACGTGGCCCACCTGTAGGTGACGTGGCCCACCTGTAGGTGACGTGGCCCACCTGTAGGTGACGTGGCACACCTGTAGGTGACGTGGCACACCTGTAGGTGACGTGGCACACCTGTAGGTGGATGGCTGGCCGATGGACTGCATCTTGTTCTGCAGCTGACACATGCGCGCTAGCATGCGCACCTGGTGTGCACACCCATGCATGCATACAGGCATACATACGTGCACACACACAGGAAAGCGGTAACATGTAGTGCACACAGACACACATGCAGACAATGTTACACGCATGCATACACATACACACCGAGACAACGACATGTGTGTTATGCACCGAGACATACACACCGAGACAATGACATGTGTGTTATGCAGAAATAACAGGCTGCTAGCTTCCAACTACTCCAACACTTTTATTGCTTTCAAGACTCGGATTCTCAAAAGCAGCTTCAGGGGGATGGGCTGATTGAATGTCTCAAATCAAGCGTGAGTGGAGGGCGATCTGAGTGACTGCAGGAGGGCGATCTGAGTGACTGCAGGAGGGCGATCTGAGTGACTGCAGGAGGGCAATCTGAGTGACTGCAGGTGGGCGATCTGAGTGACTGCAGGAGGGCGATCTGAGTGACTGCAGGAGGGCGATCTGAGTGACTGCAGGTGGGCGATCTGAGTGACTGCAGGAGGGCGATCTGAGTGACTGCAGGAGGGCGATCTGAGTGACTGCAGGTGGGCGATCTGAGTGACTGCAGGTGGGCGATCTGAGTGACTGCAGGAGGGCGATCTGAGTGACTGCAGGTGGGCGATCTGAGTGACTGCAGGTGGGCGATCTGAGTGACTGCAGGTGGGCGATCTGAGTGACTGCAGGTGGGCTTGTGAATTCTCAAAAGCAGGTCAATCCTCACCTCCCCAGCTACAGCCTCTAGCCGCTGTCTCAACGCTGCATGCTGCTGCTGCAGTGGATGGCATGTATACAGGAGCAGCAGAGGAAGGAAGGACGGACTCACCTCCTCTTCTCACTCACTCGCCTCCTCAGCAGCCACAGTGGATAGCGCCTCAAGCCTCTGCTTCAACGTTTCATGATGCTCCAGCAACAAGGGATGGCATGCATACAGTAGCAGCAGAGGAAGGAAGGGCAGACTCACCTCCTCGGCTCACTCACCTCCTCTGCTCACTCACCTCCTCGGCTCACTCACCTCCTCTGCTCACTCACCTCCTCGGCTAACTCACCTCCTCTGCTCACTCACATCCTCGGCTCACTCACCTCCTCGGCTCACTCACCTCCTCGGCTCACTCACCTCCTCGGCTCACTCACCTCCTCTGCTCACTCACCTCCTCTGCTCACTCACCTCCTCGGCTCACTCACCTCCTCTGCTCACTCACCTCCTCGGCTCACTCACCTCCTCTGCTCACTCACCTCCTCGGCTCACTCACCTCCTCGGCTCACTCACCTCCTCTGCTCACTCACCTCCTCGGCTCACTCACCTCCTCTGCTCACTCACCTCCTCTGCTCACTCACCTCCTCTGCTCACTCACCTCCTCTGCTCACTCACCTCCTCGGCTCACTCACCTCCTCTGCTCACTCACCTCCTCTGCTCACTCACCTCCTCTGCTCACTCACCTCCTCGGCTCACTCACCTCCTCTGCTCACTCACCTCCTCTGCTCACTCACCTCCTCGGCTCACTAACCTCCTCGGCTCACTCACCTCCTCTGCTCACTCACCTCCTCTGCTCACTCACCTCCTCTGCTCACTCACCTCCTCTGCTCACTCACCTCCTCGGCTCACTCACCTCCTCTGCTCACTCACCTCCTCTGCTCACTCACCTCCTCTGCTCACTCACCTCCTCTGCTCACTCACCTCCTCGGCTCACTCACCTCCTCTGCTCACTCACCTCCTCTGCTCACTCACCTCCTCTGCTCACTCACCTCCTCTGCTCACTCACCTCCTCGGCTCACTCACCTCCTCGGCTCACTCACCTCCTCTGCTCACTCACCTCCTCTGCTCACTCACCTCCTCGGCTCACTCACCTCCTCTGCTCACTCACCTCCTCGGCTCACTCACCTCCTCTGCTCACTCACCTCCTCGGCTCACTCACCTCCTCGGCTCACTCACCTCCTCTGCTCACTCACCTCCTCGGCTCACTCACCTCCTCTGCTCACTCACCTCCTCTGCTCACTCACCTCCTCTGCTCACTCACCTCCTCTGCTCACTCACCTCCTCTGCTCACTCACCTCCTCTGCTCACTCACCTCCTCTGCTCACTCACCTCCTCTGCTCACTCACCTCCTCTGCTCACTCACCTCCTCTGCTCACTCACCTCCTCTGCTCACTCACCTCCTCTGCTCACTCACCTCCTCTGCTCACTCACCTCCTCTGCTCACTCACCTCCTCTGCTCACTCACCTCCTCTGCTCACTCACCTCCTCTGCTCACTCACCTCCTCTGCTCACTCACCTCCTCTGCTCACTCACCTCCTCTGCTCACTCACCTCCTCTGCTCACTCACCTCCTCTGCTCACTCACCTCCTCTGCTCACTCACCTCCTCTGCTCACTCACCTCCTCTGCTCACTCACCTCCTCTGCTCACTCACCTCCTCTGCTCACTCACCTCCTCTGCTCACTCACCTCCTCTGCTCACTCACCTCCTCTGCTCACTCACCTCCTCTGCTCACTCACCTCCTCTGCTCACTCACCTCCTCGGCTCACTCACCTCCTCGGCTCACTCACCTCCTCGGCTCACTCACCTCCTCGGCTCACTCACCTCCTCGGCTCACTCACCTCCTCGGCTCACTCACCTCCTCTGCTCACTCACCTCCTCTGCTCACTCACCTCCTCGGCTCACTCACCTCCTCGGCTCACTCACGTCCTCTGCTCACTCACCTCCTCGGCTCACTCACCTCCTCGGCTCACTCACCTCCTCGGCTCACTCACCTCCTCTGCTCACTCACCTCCTCTGCTCACTCACCTCCTCTGCTCACTCACCTCCTCGGCTCACTCACCTCCTCTGCTCACTCACCTCCTCGGCTCACTCACCTCCTCTGCTCACTCACCTCCTCTGCTCACTCACCTCCTCGGCTCACTAACCTCCTCGGCTCACTCACCTCCTCTGCTCACTCACCTCCTCTGCTCACTCACCTCCTCTGCTCACTCACCTCCTCTGCTCACTCACCTCCTCGGCTCACTCACCTCCTCTGCTCACTCACCTCCTCTGCTCACTCACCTCCTCTGCTCACTCACCTCCTCTGCTCACTCACCTCCTCGGCTCACTCACCTCCTCTGCTCACTCACCTCCTCTGCTCACTCACCTCCTCTGCTCACTCACCTCCTCTGCTCACTCACCTCCTCGGCTCACTCACCTCCTCGGCTCACTCACCTCCTCTGCTCACTCACCTCCTCTGCTCACTCACCTCCTCGGCTCACTCACCTCCTCTGCTCACTCACCTCCTCGGCTCACTCACCTCCTCTGCTCACTCACCTCCTCGGCTCACTCACCTCCTCGGCTCACTCACCTCCTCTGCTCACTCACCTCCTCGGCTCACTCACCTCCTCTGCTCACTCACCTCCTCTGCTCACTCACCTCCTCTGCTCACTCACCTCCTCTGCTCACTCACCTCCTCGGCTCACTCACCTCCTCTGCTCACTCACCTCCTCTGCTCACTCACCTCCTCTGCTCACTCACCTCCTCGGCTCACTCACCTCCTCTGCTCACTCACCTCCTCTGCTCACTCACCTCCTCTGCTCACTCACCTCCTCTGCTCACTCACCTCCTCGGCTCACTCACCTCCTCTGCTCACTCACCTCCTCTGCTCACTCACCTCCTCTGCTCACTCACCTCCTCGGCTCACTCACCTCCTCTGCTCACTCACCTCCTCTGCTCACTCACCTCCTCTGCTCACTCACCTCCTCGGCTCACTCACCTCCTCTGCTCACTCACCTCCTCTGCTCACTCACCTCCTCTGCTCACTCACCTCCTCGGCTCACTCACCTCCTCTGCTCACTCACCTCCTCTGCTCACTCACCTCCTCTGCTCACTCACCTCCTCTGCTCACTCACCTCCTCGGCTCACTCACCTCCTCGGCTCACTCACCTCCTCGGCTCACTCACCTCCTCGGCTCACTCACCTCCTCGGCTCACTCACCTCCTCGGCTCACTCACCTCCTCTGCTCACTCACCTCCTCTGCTCACTCACCTCCTCGGCTCACTCACCTCCTCGGCTCACTCACGTCCTCTGCTCACTCACCTCCTCGGCTCACTCACCTCCTCGGCTCACTCACCTCCTCGGCTCACTCACCTCCTCTGCTCACTCACCTCCTCTGCTCACTCACCTCCTCTGCTCACTCACCTCCTCGGCTCACTCACCTCCTCTGCTCACTCACCTCCTCTGCTCACTCACCTCCTCTGCTCACTCACCTCCTCTGCTCACTCACCTCCTCGGCTCACTCACCTCCTCGGCTCACTCACCTCCTCGGCTCACTCACCTCCTCGGCTCACTCACCTCCTCTGCTCACTCACCTCCTCGGCTCACTCACCTCCTAGGCTCACTCACCTCCTCTGCTCACTCACCTCCTCGGCTCACTCACCTCCTCTGCTCACTCACCTCCTCGGCTCACTCACCTCCTCTGCTCACTCACCTCCTCGGCTCACTCACCTCCTCTGCTCACTCACCTCCTCGGCTCACTCACCTCCTCGGCTCACTCACCTCCTCGGCTCACTCACCTCCTCTGCTCACTCACCTCCTCTGCTCACTCACCTCCTCGGCTCACTCACCTCCTCGGCTCACTCACCTCCTCGGCTCACTCACCTCCTCGGCTCACTCACCTCCTCGGCTCACTCACCTCCTCGGCTCACTCACCTCCTCGGCTCACTCACCTCCTCGGCTCACTCACCTCCTCGGCTCACTCACCTCCTCTGCTCACTCACCTCCTCTGCTCACTCACCTCCTCGGCTCACTCACCTCCTCGGCTCACTCACCTCCTCTGCTCACTCACCTCCTCGGCTCACTCACCTCCTCGGCTCACTCACCTCCTCGGCTCACTCACCTCCTCGGCTCACTCACCTCCTCGGCTCACTCACCTCCTCTGCTCACTCACCTCCTCGGCTCACTCACCTCCTCGGCTCACTCACCTCCTCGGCTCACTCACCTCCTCGGCTCACTCACCTCCTCTGCTCACTCACCTCCTTGGCTCACTCACCTCCTCGGCTCACTCACCTCCTCTGCTCACTCACCTCCTCTGCTCACTCACCTCCTCGGCTCACTCACCTCCTCTGCTCACTCAACTCCTCTGCTCACTCACCTCCTCTGCTCACTCACCTCCTCGGCTCACTCACCTCCTCTGCTCACTCACCTCCTCTGCTCACTCACCTCCTCGGCTCACTCACCTCCTCTGCTCACTCACCTCCTCGGCTCACTCACCTCCTCTGCTCACTCACCTCCTTGGCTCACTCACCTCCTCGGCTCACTCACCTCCTCGGCTCACTCACCTCCTCGGCTCACTCACCTCCTCGGCTCACTCACCTCCTCTGCTCACTCACCTCCTCGGCTCACTCACCTCCTCTGCTCACTCACCTCCTCGGCTCACTCACCTCCTCGGCTCACTCACCTCCTCGGCTCACTCACCTCCTCTGCTCACTCACCTCCTCGGCTCACTCACCTCCTCGGCTCACTCACCTCCTCTGCTCACTCACCTCCTCTGCTCACTCACCTCCTCTGCTCACTCACCTCCTCGGCTCACTCACCTCCTCTGCTCACTCACCTCCTCGGCTCACTCACCTCCTCGGCTCACTCACCTCCTCGGCTCACTCACCTCCTCTGCTCACTCACCTCCTCGGCTCACTCACCTCCTCGGCTCACTCACCTCCTCGGCTCACTCACCTCCTCGGCTCACTCACCTCCTCTGCTCACTCACCTCCTCGGCTCACTCACCTCCTCGGCTCACTCACCTCCTCTGCTCACTCACCTCCTCTGCTCACTCACCTCCTCTGCTCACTCACCTCCTCTGCTCACTCACCTCCTCTGCTCACTCACCTCCTCGGCTCACTCACCTCCTCTGCTCACTCACCTCCTCGGCTCACTCACCTCCTCTGCTCACTCACCTCCTCTGCTCACTCACCTCCTCGGCTCACTCACCTCCTCGGCTCACTCACCTCCTCTGCTCACTCACCTCCTCTGCTCACTCACCTCCTCGGCTCACTCACCTCCTCTGCTCACTCACCTCCTCGGCTCACTCACCTCCTCTGCTCACTCACCTCCTCGGCTCACTCACCTCCTCGGCTCACTCACCTCCTCGGCTCACTCACCTCCTCGGCTCACTCACCTCCTCTGCTCACTCACCTCCTCTGCTCACTCACCTCCTCTGCTCACTCACCTCCTCGGCTCACTCACCTCCTCTGCTCACTCACCTCCTCGGCTCACTCACCTCCTCGGCTCACTCACCTCCTCGGCTCACTCACCTCCTCTGCTCACTCACCTCCTCGGCTCACTCACCTCCTCTGCTCACTCACCTCCTCGGCTCACTCACCTCCTCGGCTCACTCACCTCCTCGGCTCACTCACCTCCTCGGCTCACTCACCTCCTCTGCTCACTCACCTCCTCGGCTCACTCACCTCCTCGGCTCACTCACCTCCTCTGCTCACTCACCTCCTCTGCTCACTCACCTCCTCTGCTCACTCACCTCCTCTGCTCACTCACCTCCTCGGCTCACTCACCTCCTCGGCTCACTCACCTCCTCTGCTCACTCACCTCCTCGGCTCACTCACCTCCTCTGCTCACTCACCTCCTCTGCTCACTCACCTCCTCGGCTCACTCACCTCCTCTGCTCACTCACCTCCTCTGCTCACTCACCTCCTCGGCTCACTCACCTCCTCTGCTCACTCACCTCCTCTGCTCACTCACCTCCTCGGCTCACTCACCTCCTCTGCTCACTCACCTCCTCTGCTCACTCACCTCCTCTGCTCACTCACCTCCTCGGCTCACTCACCTCCTCTGCTCACTCACCTCCTCTGCTCACTCACCTCCTCTGCTCACTCACCTCCTCCGCTCACTCACCTCCTCGGCTCACTCACCTCCTCGGCTCACTCACCTCCTCGGCTCACTCACCTCCTCGGCTCACTCACCTCCTCTGCTCACTCACCTCCTCTGCTCACTCACCTCCTCTGCTCACTCACCTCCTCTGCTCACTCACCTCCTCGGCTCACTCACCTCCTCTGCTCACTCACCTCCTCTGCTCACTCACCTCCTCTGCTCACTCACCTCCTCGGCTCACTCACCTCCTCTGCTCACTCACCTCTTCTGCTCACTCACCTCCTCGGCTCACTCACCTCCTCTGCTCACTCACCTCCTCGGCTCACTCACCTCCTCTGGTCACTCACCTCCTCTGCTCACTCACCTCCTCTGCTCACTCACCTCCTCGGCTCACTCACCTCCTCTGCTCACTCACCTCCTCTGCTCACTCACCTCCTCTGCTCACTCACCTCCTCGGCTCACTCACCTCCTCTGCTCACTCACCTCCTCTGCTCACTCACCTCCTCTGCTCACTCACCTCCTCTGCTCACTCACCTCCTCGGCTCACTCACCTCCTCGGCTCACTCACCTCCTCGGCTCACTCACCTCCTCGGCTCACTCACCTCCTCTGCTCACTCACCTCCTCTGCTCACTCACCTCCTCGGCTCACTCACCTCCTCTGCTCACTCACCTCCTCGGCTCACTCACCTCCTCGGCTCACTCACCTCCTCGGCTCACTCACCTCCTCGGCTCACTCACCTCCTCGGCTCACTCACCTCCTCTGCTCACTCACCTCCTCTGCTCACTCACCTCCTCGGCTCACTCACCTCCTCGGCTCACTCACGTCCTCTGCTCACTCACCTCCTCGGCTCACTCACCTCCTCGGCTCACTCACCTCCTCGGCTCACTCACCTCCTCTGCTCACTCACCTCCTCTGCTCACTCACCTCCTCTGCTCACTCACCTCCTCGGCTCACTCACCTCCTCTGCTCACTCACCTCCTCTGCTCACTCACCTCCTCTGCTCACTCACCTCCTCTGCTCACTCACCTCCTCGGCTCACTCACCTCCTCGGCTCACTCACCTCCTCGGCTCACTCACCTCCTCGGCTCACTCACCTCCTCTGCTCACTCACCTCCTCGGCTCACTCACCTCCTAGGCTCACTCACCTCCTCTGCTCACTCACCTCCTCGGCTCACTCACCTCCTCTGCTCACTCACCTCCTCGGCTCACTCACCTCCTCTGCTCACTCACCTCCTCGGCTCACTCACCTCCTCTGCTCACTCACCTCCTCGGCTCACTCACCTCCTCGGCTCACTCACCTCCTCGGCTCACTCACCTCCTCTGCTCACTCACCTCCTCTGCTCACTCACCTCCTCGGCTCACTCACCTCCTCGGCTCACTCACCTCCTCGGCTCACTCACCTCCTCGGCTCACTCACCTCCTCGGCTCACTCACCTCCTCGGCTCACTCACCTCCTCGGCTCACTCACCTCCTCGGCTCACTCACCTCCTCGGCTCACTCACCTCCTCTGCTCACTCACCTCCTCTGCTCACTCACCTCCTCGGCTCACTCACCTCCTCGGCTCACTCACCTCCTCTGCTCACTCACCTCCTCGGCTCACTCACCTCCTCGGCTCACTCACCTCCTCGGCTCACTCACCTCCTCGGCTCACTCACCTCCTCGGCTCACTCACCTCCTCTGCTCACTCACCTCCTCGGCTCACTCACCTCCTCGGCTCACTCACCTCCTCGGCTCACTCACCTCCTCGGCTCACTCACCTCCTCTGCTCACTCACCTCCTTGGCTCACTCACCTCCTCGGCTCACTCACCTCCTCTGCTCACTCACCTCCTCTGCTCACTCACCTCCTCGGCTCACTCACCTCCTCTGCTCACTCAACTCCTCTGCTCACTCACCTCCTCTGCTCACTCACCTCCTCGGCTCACTCACCTCCTCTGCTCACTCACCTCCTCTGCTCACTCACCTCCTCGGCTCACTCACCTCCTCTGCTCACTCACCTCCTCGGCTCACTCACCTCCTCTGCTCACTCACCTCCTTGGCTCACTCACCTCCTCGGCTCACTCACCTCCTCGGCTCACTCACCTCCTCGGCTCACTCACCTCCTCGGCTCACTCACCTCCTCTGCTCACTCACCTCCTCGGCTCACTCACCTCCTCTGCTCACTCACCTCCTCGGCTCACTCACCTCCTCGGCTCACTCACCTCCTCGGCTCACTCACCTCCTCTGCTCACTCACCTCCTCTGCTCACTCACCTCCTCGGCTCACTCACCTCCTCTGCTCACTCACCTCCTCTGCTCACTCACCTCCTCTGCTCACTCACCTCCTCGGCTCACTCACCTCCTCTGCTCACTCACCTCCTCTGCTCACTCACCTCCTCTGCTCACTCACCTCCTCTGCTCACTCACCTCCTCTGCTCACTCACCTCCTCGGCTCACTCACCTCCTCTGCTCACTCACCTCCTCTGCTCACTCACCTCCTCTGCTCTCTCATCTCCTCTGCTCACTCACCTCCTCTGCTCACTCACCTCCTCGGCTCACTCACCTCCTCGGCTCACTCACCTCCTCTGCTCACTCACCTCCTCTGCTCACTCACCTCCTCTGCTCACTCACCTCCTCGGCTCACTCACCTCCTCTGCTCACTCACCTCCTCAGCTGCCGCAGCAGAGAGCGCCTCTAGCCTCTGCCTCAACGCAGCATGCTGCTCCAACAGCTGCTGCCGCACTGCCATGCCATCCACCACACTGCCTGGCAGCTGGAGGGAGCAAGAGGTATAGGGAGAGATAGAGGTACAGGGGGAGAGGGGGACAGGGCAGGGCGAATAGAATGTATGAGCTCGATAGTGCATGCGCCGCCAACAGCTGCTGCTGCTGCTGCTGCTGCTGCTGCACTGCCATGCCATCCACCACATTGCCAGGCAACTGAGGAGAGAAGGCAGAACGTGAGCACTAGGTGCAGGGAGGTGAACAGATGCAGGGGAGACACGGGGTCTAATAAGCCCGCCGTGAATACAGACTCAGCTCGCGACAATGAGTACACTAACAGCAGCGGAAGCTGCTGCTGCACTGCCATGCCATCCACCACCACACTGCCAGGCAACTGGGAGAAAAGACACAACGAGAGCACGAGGTGTAGGGAGGTGAACAAATGCAGGGGGGGTCTAATGCAGGGGGGGTCTAATGCAGGGGGGGTCTAATGCAGGGGGGGTCTAAGCGGGAACAGTATGAGCGGGCAATGCAGCGTATGAGCGGGCAATGCAGCGTATGAGCGGGCAATGCAGCGTATGAGCGGGCAATGCAGCGTATGAGCGGGCAATGCAGCGTATGAGCGGGCAATGCAGCGTATGAGCGGGCAATGCAGCGTATGAGCGGGCAATGCAGCGTATGAGCGGGCAATGCAGCGTATGAGCGGGCAATGCAGCGTATGAGCGGGCAATGCAGCGTATGAGCGGGCAATGCAGCGTATGAGCGGGCAATGCAGCGTATGAGCGGGCAATGCAGCGTATGAGCGGGCAATGCAGCGTATGAGCGGGCAATGCAGCGTATGAGCGGGCAATGCAGCGTATGAGCGGGCAATGCAGCGTATGAGCGGGCAATGCAGCGTATGAGCGGGCAATGCAGCGTATGAGCGGGCAATGCAGCGTATGAGCGGGCAATGCAGCGTATGAGCGGGCAATGCAGCGTATGAGCGGGCAATGCAGCGTATGAGCGGGCAATGCAGCGTATGAGCGGGCAATGCAGCGTATGAGCGGGCAATGCAGCGTATGAGCGGGCAATGCAGCGTATGAGCGGGCAATGCAGCGTATGAGCGGGCAATGCAGCGTATGAGCGGGCAATGCAGCGTATGAGCGGGCAATGCAGCGTATGAGCGGGCAATGCAGCGTATGAGCGGGCAATGCAGCGTATGAGCGGGCAATGCAGCGTATGAGCGGGCAATGCAGCGTATGAGCGGGCAATGCAGCGTATGAGCGGGCAATGCAGCGTATGAGCGGGCAATGCAGCGTATGAGCGGGCAATGCAGCGTATGAGCGGGCAATGCAGCGTATGAGCGGGCAATGCAGCGTATGAGCGGGCAATGTAGCGTATGAGCGGGCAATGCAGCGTATGAGCGGGCAATGCAGCGTATGAGCGGGCAATGCAGCGTATGAGCGGGCAATGCAGCGTATGAGCGGGCAATGCAGCGTATGAGCGGGCAATGCAGCGTATGAGCGGGCAATGCAGCGTATGAGTGGGCAATGCAGCGTATGAGCGGGCAATGCAGCGTATGAGTGGGCAATGCAGCGTATGAGCGGGCAATGCAGCGTATGAGTGGGCAATGCAGCGTATGAGCGGGCGGTGCAGCGTATGAGCGGGCAATGCAGCGTATGAGTGGGCAATGCAGCGTATGAGCGGGCAATGCAGCGTATGAGCGGGCAGTGCAGCGTATGAGTGGGCAATGCAGCGTATGAGCGGGCAATGCAGCGTATGAGTGGGCAATGCAGCGTATGAGCGGGCAATGCAGCGTATGAGTGGGCAATGCAGCGTATGAGCGGGCGGTGCAGCGTATGAGCGGGCAATGCAGCGTATGAGCGGGCAATGCAGCGTATGAGTGGGCAATGCAGCGTATGAGTGGGCAATGCAGCGTATGAGTGGGCAATGCAGCGTATGAGCGGGCAATGCAGCGTATGAGCGGGCAATGCAGCGTATGAGCGGGCAATGCAGCGTATGAGCGGGCAATGCAGCGTATGAGCGGGCAATGCAGCGTATGAGCGGGCGGAGCAGCGTATGAGCGGGCAATGCAGCGTATGAGCGGGCGGTGCAGCGTATGAGCGGGCGGTGCAGCGTATGAGCGGGCGGTGCAGCGTATGAGCGGGCGGTGCAGCGTATGAGCGGGCGGTGCAGCGTATGAGCGTGCGGTGCAGCGTATGAGCGGGCGGAGCAGCGTATGAGCGGGCAATGCAGCGTATGAGCGGGCGGTGCAGCGTATGAGCGGGCGGTGCAGCGTATGAGCGGGCGGTGCAGCGTATGAGCGGGCGGTGCAGCGTATGAGCGTGCGGTGCAGCGTATGAGCGGGCGGTGCAGCGTATGAGCGGGCGGTGCAGCGTATGAGCGGGCGGTGCAGCGTATGAGCGGGCGGTGCAGCGTATGAGCGGGCGGTGCAGCGTATGAGCGGGCAGTGCAGCGTATGAGCGTGCGGTGCAGCGTATGAGCGTGCAGTGCAGCGTATGAGCGGGCAGTGCAGCATATGAGCGGGCGGTGCAGCGTATGAGCGGGCGGTGCAGCGAATGAGCGGGCAGTGCAGCGTATGAGCGTGCGGTGCAGCGTATGAGCGTGCGGTGCAGCGTATGAGCGGGCGGTGCAGCGTATGAGCGGGCGGTGCAGCGTATGAGCGGGCGGTGCAGCGTATGAGCGGGCGGTGCAGCGTATGAGCGGGCAGTGCAGCGTATGAGCGTGCGGTGCAGCGTATGAGCGTGTGGTGCAGCGTATGAGTGGGCGGTGCAGAGTATGAGCGGGCGGTGCAGCGTATGAGCGTGCGGTGCGGTGCAGCGTATGAGCGTGCTATACCAGGAATGCTACAGCAGCACAGCTGCTGCCACACTTCCTTCCAGCTCCGGGAGCCCTACCTCTCTTAACTTTGGAAGAAGCACAGAGCTGTAAGCCCCCCGAGCCACAGCATCCACCCCAGTTAGATTGGATTTTGCTTGTAGAACAAATGTACGTGTACAGAACAACTGGCATACCTCTCTTAGCTTTGGCAGGAGCAGAAAGTTGTACGCTCCCCCTGTTGCTGCACCACCAGCAGCCACCCACCCCACCACACTCCCCATCGTCCCATCTGTGATCGCGTTTGGCTCCATTATCCCCATGCTCACTGCTGCCGCCCCCACCACGTTCGCCGCCACCAGTGCGCCGCCCAGAGGAAGCACCCAGGGCGGCAGCGACAGGCTGCCGCTGTCTCTAGTGGTCTTGGGCGGTGCGCGCAGTAACGCCAGCGTCTGCCGCGTCACATGATTGGTCAGCGCCATGGGCTCACTCGGGTTCCACCCCGGGGTTCTATTCGCCGGCGCCGGAAATACCCCCGCTATTTTCCGCTTAGAAGCAGAGGATTTTCGAGAAGCGGGCGAGGAGGAGGGGAGGGAGGAGGAGAGGGAGGAGGCGAGAGAGGAGGAGAAGGAGGGCGCGGCGCAGGCGATGGTGATTCGCTCCCCGGATTGAGCGGGCACGGAGGGGGTGACGGTGGCGAAGGTGTTGATCTGCGATGTGCCATCTGGGGCTTTCAGCACCACGCTGTGCACTGCAACTGGTGGGTCACCCCGTTTAATGCGCACAAAGCGGAGCACCTTGTCTAGTATGGGGGCAGAGTCACTGATGGTGGGTGGAGGGATGGGAGGCAGAGGAAAACGAAGAAGCCTTGAGCACCACGCTCTGCATCTTGTCTAGTGTCGGGGCAGAGTCGCTGGTGAGAGGGGGGAGTGAAGAGGGTGGAGGAAAAAGGGTAAAGGGAGAGAATGGAGGGTGTGAAATGGAGCGGGCACGGAGGGGGTGACAGTGGCGAAGGTGATTATCTGCGATGTGCCGTCTGGTGCCTTGAGCACCACACTGTGCACTGCAACTGGTGGGTCACCCCGTTTAATGCGCACAAAACGAATGACTTTGTCCAAGATGGGGGCTGAGTCGCTGGTGGGGGGGGTTGGGAGTGCATGGAGAGGTGGAGCGACGGGAGGCAGGGGAAGAAGAGAGGGGCCTTGAGCACCACACTGTGCACCGCTGCTGGTGGGTCTCCCCGTTTGATGCGCACGAGGCGAAGGACTTTGTCCAAGATGGGGGCAGAGTCGCTGGTGATGGGGTGGAGGGATGGGAGGCAGAGGGAAACGAACGAGTCTTGAGCACCACACTGTGCACCGCTGTGCACATTCACGCACCACATGAATTTTATAACACTCACATGAGGGACTCAGAGTCGCAGGAGATGAGGTCCCCTGACACCAGCTCGTACTCATACTTGCACTTCATGAATCTACGTTATGCATATAGCTTGACTCTAAGCCCCCCCCTGCCCTTCTCACCTTGACTCTAACAAGCACAGGCAAGGGCAACCCGAGGCACGGGGCATCCACTCAAAGCTGATGGCCTCTCCACTCTGCACTCTAGCCACCCACCCTCAGTCTGTGTCCCTTCACTTGCACCCTCAGGCTGTGTCCCTTCACTTGCACCCTCAGTCTGTGTCCCTTCACTTGCACCCTCAGGCTGTGTCCCTTCACTTGCACCCTCAGTCTGTGTCCCTTCACTTGCACCCTCAGTCTGTGTCCCTTCACTTGCACCCTCAGGCTGTGTCCCTTCACTTGCACCCTCAGGCTGTGTCCCTTCACTTGCACCCTCAGTCTGTGTCCCTTCACTTGCACCCTCAGTCTGTGTCCCTTCACTTGCACCCTCAGTCTGTGTCCCTTCACTTGCACCCTCAGTCTGTGTCCCTTCACTTGCACCCTCAGTCTGTGTCCCTTCACTTGCACCCTCAGTCTGTGTCCCTTCACTTGCACCCTCAGTCTGTGTCCCTTCACTTGCACCCTCAGTCTGTGTCCCTTCACTTGCACCCTCAGTCTGTGTCCCTTCACTTGCACCCGCACTAGCAACAACTCTCACCTTCACTTGCACCCGCACTAGCAACAACTCTCACCTTCGCACTAGCACAAGCAGGGCCGACTCGAAACTGATCACCTCTCCACTCTGAACTCTCGCCATCACCTCAGCAGCAATCGCTGGGCCCTGACGAGGCCTCTCCCCTCACCCCCACAAGCAATAACCCTCACGTTGACTCTAACCAGCACAGGCAGAGGAGACCCGCCAAGCACAGTGCATCCACTCAGCCACTGAGCCCAGCCTCTGAGGCGCTGAGGGAGGAACTGCGGGAGGAACTGAAGGAGGAACTGAGGGAGGGAGGAACTGAGGGAGGAACTGAGGGAGGAACTGAGGGAGGGAGGAACTGAGGGAGGGACTGAGGGAGGGACTGAGGGAGGAACTGAGGGAGGGAGGAACTGAGGGAGGAACTGAGGGAGGGAGGAACTGAGGGAGGAACTGAGGGAGGAACTGAGGGAGGAACTGAGGGAGGGAGGAACTGAGGGAGGGACTGAGGGAGGGACTGAGGGAGGAACTGAGGGAGGGAGGAACTGAGGGAGGGAGGAACTGAGGGAGGAACTGAGGGAGGAACTGAGGGAGGAACTGCGGGAGGAACTGAAGGAGGAACTGAGGGAGGGAGGAACTGAGGGAGGAACTGAGGGAGGAACTGAGGGAGGGAGGAACTGAGGGAGGAACTGAGGGAGGGAGGAACTGAGGGAGGAAGGACTCGTCAAGAGCACAGCACAGGGCAACAAGCCGAGCTTTTCTCGCGCTCGTCCGAGCTTTTAAAAAGCTCGTGATAAGAGACGAGTCGCGAGCTTGAGTTTTCCGTGAAAAGCTCGGCCGAGCTAAACTTGGCTCGTGACATTACTCATACGAGTGTGCCCAGGGACGAGGCGAGTAAAACTCGGCTCGAGACATTACTCGTACTAGTGTGCCCAGGGACGAGGCGAGAATACAGCATCCACACGTGTAGGAAGCACTCACATGAGGGATTCAGAGTCGCAGGAGATGAGGTCCCCTGACACCAGCTCGTACTCGTACTTGCACCCCGCACACCCCACCACCTGAGACCGTAGGAACGATAGCACATGGGGATTGAGGGGCAGGGCAGGGGCATGGGCAGTGTTACAAGCAAGAGCATGAATTATCAGGAGTAAGTGTGTGGTTAACAGGGGCAGGGCCGTAAGAGAAGCAGGGGCGTAGAAACAGCAGGGGTTAGGCAGGAGGCCGGGGAGGAGGCACGAAGCATGGGGGTTGCAGCAGAGAGAGTCAAGGGGGAACGTTGTCTAGGAAACAACCTCCATTTATTTCTCTCTTGTCAGAAGCCTCATGGGCTCACCTGCCGGCCTTGCTGCGGCTGCACCACAGAAAAGGCTTTGCGGCACGTGGGGCAGTCCACTGTCACTCCAAAGGACACCTGCACCAGGAACACAAGGACGCAAATGCACAAACCACTTGACGTGGCTGTTGATTTATTTGTTCATGCACCACATGAAAGTGAAGGCTTTGCAGCACATAGGGTAGCCCATCGACATCTGAGAATATACATCGAAGGGATTAAAGCACACAATTCATCCAATGTGACGTTCAAGTGCACCACACAAGCCACTACCGCTCCCTGGCTCTGTTCCCTCACTCACTTCACATCCCCTCTGTCCCAATCGGGCACACCCCTCCTCTGCACGTCCCTCACCAGCGCCACCGCAACTCAGCTGTTGCTCCCCCCTTTTCCCCCCTTACTGCATTTCCCTTCCCCTTTTCCCCTTCCCCCACCTCACTCCCCACTTCCCTCCTCCGCTCACCTCTCGGTCCCCCTCGGGCACGCCTCGCCGCTGCACCTCCCCCACCAGCGCCACGGCGTCCGCCACTCGCAGCAGCGCCGCCAGCCCCCTCACCATCGCCGCGTATAGGCGCACGCCCACCGCGGGCCACACGCGCGCACGCGCTGGAAGGGGCGGCGGCAGAGGGAAGATGAGAGAGGGGGCCACGAGGGAAGGGGATAGTGGGAGGAGCGAGGGGGAGATGAGGATGCAGAAACATGTGTTAATCTCAGCACCACAGTCAATCCCAACCGGTTCCGTATGCTGATCGTACCGTCATTTCCTTGTACTAATCTACCATCCCCTAACATACTGCCGCACCTTGCCCAGGCGCGCCCGCATTGAGCGCCAAAGCGGACGTCTTGCACGCATTCAGCAGCGAATAGCTGAGTGCCACGTTGCCCGCCGCCAGGCTCCCCTCCATCAGCCATGCCACGTCACGCCGCGTAAACCTCTCCGTCTTCCCCGCATTCCCCGCCCCTGCGCCTGCGCCTCCCACCCCCGGTCGTTGGCCCAACGCCGCGCCCTGCGCTCTGCCAGCACCTGTCGCTCCCCCTTGCCCTTGCGCCTCCGCCGATCTCCGCTGACCTTGCGCTCTCTCCGCATTTCCCCTCGCCGTTTCCGCCTTCTTCTCCTTCTCACCCCCCAACAGACTCCCCAACCCGCTGAACCATCCCCCGCCTGCCTTCTTCTCTTCCGCGGCGGCGGCTGCTGCTTCTGCCGCCGCCGCCGCTTCCGCCTCCGCCTTTGCCGCAGCGGCGGAAGCAGCTTCCGCCGCTGCTGCCTCCGCCGCGGCAAGTGCCGCCGCTCCGCCCGCCTCCCCGCGCAACGCTGCCAGCTTCCCCAGCAGCAGCTCCGCCAAAGTATCCGCCTCCTCCACTTCCGCCAACCACCTGCTGACGTCACGATCGTCCCCTAATCTTTCCGCCAGCGATGGTAACCGCTGGCGAGATTTCGATTGCGATTCCCTTTCATCGCCCTGCGCGTCCTCCATATCCGTCTCATCGTCATAGTCATCGTCGTCGTCTGTAGACTCTACACTGGAATTTAATCCAAGCGCGGTTTCTGCGGCTCTTAAAAGCCGCGTCGACTCTTTCTCCTCTACCAAAGTTGCAGCCATGGCGGAATCCGCTAATTTAACTCCATCCTTATCACTCGCGTTGCCGCTTAATCTGGACCGAATGCCACCTAGAGTTACATCCGCCTTACAAATTCGATTGACTCTGCATCCAGCTCTGCGAAAAGCTGCAGTGTTACTCGTTGCTGGTAACACACGCCTCAAGCCATCATGGCGAGGAAGGATATTGTGACTGCTCCGTGGGCTCTGAACGCTCGCCTGTGCAACCTCGGGCTCTCCGCGAAGAGACTGAGACGGCGCCAGCGGCAGGGACGCGCTCGCGCGAATAGCCGCCATTGTTATGCTACGGCCGCGGCCTCGCGAGCTTACTAGAGCCTGGTTCAAAGTACCGAGGGGCTTGCCTGACGAGCACAGGAAACAAGCATATGAAAATCCCAGAAAAGCAGATGAGCCATGCGGAATCAGGATGGGGAATGGCCAAGCGGAAGGCGCATGGTGAGGTGGGGGTACTGAAGAGCTCCAGGGATGCGCGCGACATTCCCAGTTCTGATTGGTTTAGAAGGGCTGACATGCGCAGAATGACAGAAATTGCGCGGGCCAAGGGGAATGGGCGCGGAAAACTTTGGTGCTGTGGCTGGGGCTTGTGCTGAAGAATTGACCGGACGGGGCAGAAAATGGATTTGCCTTGCTGGAAAGTCGAGACTGTGAAATAATGAACCAATCAAAGGCAGCGAACAAAATTTCAAGTGACCCCGTTTCTCGCTCAGGACTGGCAGAAGCTGATCTTCATGCCTCTGACACGCGCCAGATAACATTCTTCCAGTCGAGGTCCACGACGTGTAACCCGAATTCGGCGAACAGCTCCGCGAAGTCGCAACTCTCGCGAGCAAAACCTAGAGCAAATCGTCACGAACACGCGCTCTCCTATTCTTCCTCTTTCCTTCCTCCCCTTCCTCAACCTTGACCTTGGAATTACTTGAAGCGCATTCTCATGGTCGCTCTCCAGCTCCGCGCTCCGAGATCCTTACCGTCTGCATTAGTCTTATTCGCATCTCACACTAGATGCAATAGGCCGTCCTGCATGCATCGGATACTGTGACTTGAGGAAAATCACATGAGCCTTACGACATACTAGTATCAGAACGCCAGCAATCCAATGGTTGTAAGTTTTATTCCTTCGTCGACTTAGTCTAGGACTTGTCAATTTACTTTGTACCGAAAATCACTCACGAACCTTCGGACCAGCTTGTCTCTGTTAGCGCTTCTTTCCGTGCTATTGCAAGTTTGCTTCTTAATTCCGTGGCACTTCCCGTCATCGATGTTCCCTTCTCCGTTGGAATAAATCGTCGCAGACAGTCTCTCAAAAGCGTGCACCTTCAACCCGCACGCGCCTCTCCCTTACTACAGCAGCAGGACAAGTACGTGTACACGCCGTTGAGCGACGTGCCTGCAGCAGCGGGGCAGAAGGTCAATGTCTTCGGCGTGGTGGTCCTCGCAGACAACATTCGGCACTCCCAGGGGACTGGTACTGTACTCGTTCTCCAAGTTTCCTGAATTTCGTCTCGACCTTGTTCACGCAACAGCCTCATGCTCGGATTTCTCCTCCCTCCCCTCGCCTCCTCTGCATGCGCTTTCACTTCTGACTTCGCACAAGCAGTATCAAACCCGTGTATCTCGTGTTTTCCTAATCCGCGCGTGCATCCCCTTTGCAGATTTCTTCTGCACGCTGCTTCTGGCGGACACCACGTGCCACAGCCCTGGCTACGCCGTCAACCTCTTTGCTCCCCGGGCTGATCAACTGCCGCAAGTCGCCAATGTAGGCGATATAATTCGCATCCACAGAATGATGGTCAGTACGATTCCATGATCTCATGCCACCTTCGATTTTCTGTGTTTTTCCTCTCATCCATGCTCCCTGTGCCTCCTTTTATCAACGTTCCCCTCTCTCAGTCTTTCCCTTTCTTTATCCTTAACTCGTTCACTGCAAAACATCCTCTCTGTGCACGCACGTCTCCCTCTTGACTTCCGCTTTGACTTCCTTCTCACCGCTCTCCCCCGCTATCCTGTGCAGAGCACGGTGATTCACAGAGGTCCCCTGGGCACGGCGCGCACAGGTCAGCAGAGCGCCCACGCGCTCTTCTCAGGGACGCCAGGGTCGTCCCTGCAGCCCTACTCCTTCTCGCACACTTCCTTCCGGCCTCTCTCCGACGGCCACAAGCAGCTCGTGCAGCAGCTGAGGCTCTGGGCGCATGGCTTCCCCTTCCTCATCCGTAAGCTGGGGGAGGGGGGGGTGGAGGGGGAGGAAGGTGGTGAGCTGGGGAATTGGAGGGGCGGGGGAAGTTGATCTGAGATGAACCGAACCTTCTCCGCCCTCCCCCCCGCTCACCACCAGCTCGTGCAGCAGCTCCGGCTCTGGGCGCATGGCTTCCCCTTCCTCATCCGTGAGCTGGCTGGGGTGGGGCAGATAAGAGGGAGGGAAGTTGATTGTTCCTTCATGGTATAAAGTTTCGTCTGTTAAAAAGAGCTTATCCCTGTTCCTTTGTGCCTCCCTCCCTTTCCCCTCCATGGCTCCTGCCAGGCCCACCCACAGCGCCAGAGCCGTTGCTGACCATCAGCAGCATCGATGCCGACATTGCGTTTGATCTCTGCGTGCAGGTCAGTCAGCCTGTTAACTGTCATGGTTATTCTGCTCATTGTTATCTTATTCTGTTCGAGATGAGTAATCTCGCTGTATCATCTTTGCCTGGCCGTTTTGGGGGCTGTGTGGGCGCGTTTGTGTGCGCGCGCGCGTGTGTGTGCGGGCTGTGCGCGTGCGTACGTGCGTGCGAAATTGCGTGTGTGCATGCCTGTGTGCATGCCTGTGTGCATGCGTGTGTGCATGCAGGTGTGGCACATAGTAAAGAGGGATCGCATGGTGGTGCTCTTCGTCTGGGACGGCACCGACCTCCCTCTCCCCTCGCTTTCCGCGTGAGTCGTGCTACCTCCTCTCTGCCGTGCTTCCGCGCATTCCTCTGGCCCCTTCGCTTTCGTCTCTCGTCACTGCCTTTCCATTTTCAGGCACGTTCATCACCCTTCTTTAGACCCAGCACCACTTGTCCTTCCATCACTCACCCATCCTCTCGCCCGTGCTCCACTCCATTTCGTCCCTCTTCCACGCTCTACTGCACTCAACCACTCAATCTCTCTTCTGCCGTCTCTTTTCTGTGCAGGCCGGCAGCACCAATCCCCTCCAGTCATTCCCCGCATCACGGCCAGCCATACAATGCCCCCGAATCCTCCTCTACACCATCTGCGCCCTCCAGCTCATCCCTACCCCAACCCCCACCCACTAGGCCACCCACGTCAACCCCTGCATCAGCATCGGCGCATGCAGGGGTGCATCCCGCCTCTCCTCCTCCCTGCACTCGCTCAGGGTACCCACTTTTTGCCGTTGGCGGTCGCCCTGCCCCTCCTCTCTGTGTGCTGCAGCGTGTCCCCCCTCTGGGTTCCCTGCTGCCTGTTATGTGCCACGTGGACGACCTTCACTGGCTGCTGCACCGCCTGCACCCCTCTGTAGCAAAGGCGTTAGAGGGGGAGGGAGGAGGGGGGCCAGCCAGGGCGGGGCACGAGGGGGAAGGTGGGGGCAGAGGTGATGGGGGAAACAGGGGTGGGGAGAATGAGAGGGCAGAGCGGGACCAGAATGGGGGGCAGGGAGCGGGAGGAGTGGCAGCAGAGGGGAGTGAGAGACGACAAGATGGGGAGGGCCGGGAGGAGGGGGAGGAGGAGAGGGTGGCGGGAGAGTGGCAGCAGGAGGGGGTGGTGCCGTGCTGGGTGCGGCTGAGGAACATCAGAGCCACGTGCCACGGCGCCAGAGGGGACTGGCTGGGCATCTTCAACAACTCCAGCCGCCTGAGCCTCGTCAGGGAATGCTACTCGGACGTAGCAGAGCTGAAAAGGTAACGCTCATGTTACCTCCCTGCTCACCGTTCATTGGTTTAAAAAACAAATAAGCTACCTAGACGTAGTTCTGCCTGTGCTCCTATTGGATTCAATCCCCTAGTTACACGTAATGGCAAGAACGCTTAGAGGGGTTTTGGGGGGCACTTGGAGAATCGTCTCATTGCATTGCTGCCATTCTCCTTGTTTGCTCCCACAGCAAGTATGCAGAGAGGGCAGCGAGTGAGGACGCACACACGCGGATAGGCAACATGGCTCTGTGGGCCTCCATCCACCAGCACACACGTCAGTCCATTCGTTGCCCTCACTCCCACACACATGTCAACCCATTCACCTCCGCTCACCTCTTACCCGCCCAACCAACCCGCTTTCGTTTTCCTCCCTGGGCCTCCTTTCACCAGCGCACACACACATCAATGCATCACCCATCTTCCCTCATTCCTGCTGCTCTTCCAACCCAAAACACCTCTTCGTCCCACAATTTGACAGCCCCGCTCCACCACCTTTGCACCAAGCTTTCAACGTCCATCTCTGTCCTCTGCTGTGCCCTCCTCTGTGCCCTCATCTGTGCCCTCCTCTATGCATTCCTCTTTGCTCTCCTCTGCGCCCTCCTCTGTGCCCTCCTCTGTGCCCTCCTCTGTGCTCTCCTCTGTGCTCTCCTCTGATTCCTCTCCTGCGCCCCACTGTTTGGCACCAGGCATCGCCCGTTCCCTGCAGCCGTACTCCACCCTTCGCCAGATCTACACCCATCCTGTGGTGAGTGAGTGGTAACCCGCACCATGCACCAGAGTGAGAGGGGAGAGTGGGACGGGGGAGATTGAGAGACGGAAGAGAGATACGGGGGAGAGCGGGACAGGGAAGTGCTAGACAAGGGAAAGTGAGACAAGGGAGAGTGAGACAAGGGAGTGAGACAGGGGAGACTGAGACGGGGGAGAGTGAAACCAGGCACACACTGCTTCTTTTCTCTTACGTTTTCCTCTTTCCTGTGACTCCTTTGACTCTCCTTTCTCCTCCATCTTCCATATCTTATCTTGCCGTTTCACCACTTTGTCTTCGTGTTCGGCTTCCTACACCTACCCACCCCACACCAGGTGCCGTACCGCTTCCGCTGTGCAGCGAGAGTGATCTTCGCCTCTGCTATCCACCCCGCCCGCTTCACTGCCTTCGTTCCAGACAAGCCCCGCTCCATCTCCTCCTCTCCTGCACCCCCGTGCTCCTCCACTCCTCTACCTGCCGCTGCCACATCTGCTGGTGCCGCTGCTGGTACTGATGCAACCGAGGGGACGGGGGAGGAAGGGACGGGAAAGCGGTCAGGAGAGGAAGGCGTGGAAAGGGCGCGAGCGAAGCTGCAAAAAGGGGAGGGTCATGCTGACGTGGCAAGGCAGGATGTTGCTGACGTGGCGAGGCAGGAGGGGGCTGATGTGGCGCCACAGGAAGATGCTGAGGCTAATGTGGCGAGGGAAGCAGTAGGGAAGGGGGTGGAAGAGGGAGAAGGAGGTGGTTCGGGGAAAGCAGCAGAGACAGCAGGCACATCAGAGGGCGTGGGCGGAGTGGCTTCAGCAAAGGGAGAGTCCACAGGAAAAGCAGGTTCTGGGGTGAAGAGGAAGTGGGCGGCAGGGCTTGTCTTGGTGCTCGAGGATGCTACGGGGCGGTTGCTCGTCCGCCTCGCCTCACCTAATGCCGTAAGGATCGTCCGGTTTCCCATGGTTCCAATCTTGACGTACAAGGCTTCATCTTGCTCCTTGTTCATGCTGCACACACAGAGGGTTATTTTCAATTATCACCCTTATCTTGATGCACGGCTAAAGGTTCGCTCAGCAGCACCTCCCAACCCAATCATTTTCTTCATGCATCTTCATTGCTGATCCTCCCCTTTATTTTCACCCTGCTTCCCATTCGCTCCTGATGGCCTTCTTGGAAGACTGCCTTCCAGTGACCAAATAGTTTCTTTGTCAAGGACTTCTCTCAAACTGCCTGCCTTGACTTGGTTTCCCTCTTGTCTGCTGTGCCTTTCTTCCTTTCCCACCCCAATCAGGAGGTGTTCTTTTCAGCAACAGCGGAGGAGTTGCGCAAGGATGCAGGGGTGTCTGCGAGAGCAGCTGCAAGCATGGCTATGCTGTTGGGTGTGCCCAGAGACCACGGGCAGGATACAGAATTTGACTTTGGACAGCAAGCGCATGCAGGGATTGAACGGGATGCGGTGCATGAGAATGAAGATGCACGGGTGGAAAGGGAAGCACGTAATCCGCCGTCGATTGACTGCTGTGTGTTCTCGTACCACCATGTGAGGAAAGATGGACTGTCGAAAGAGAAGATGTTTCAAATATTCCAGACTAGGTTGCTGACTCAACATGATGGTGCATGACGAGCTTTTTTTGAATGAGCCTCGCATACGCCGGCCTCTATCCAGGTTTTCTGGAACACACGAATACCTGTTTCCATAAACAAGACTCGACGCTAACGTCGTAAGGGTTGCGTATAAGGTACGTTCGTATGGCAGAATAAACGATACCATTAACGAAGATTTGTACTAGATCATACTTATAGAATTATTTGTTCTATGTTTCCACAGTTATATATACTGTGATCGTACTGTGCCCTCACGTGAGTAGATTTTGTTTTCTTAAAATACGGTTTTGAAGTCGGACTATATTGGGTTTGTGTTTTGCATCTGACTCTGATGTGTCGCGCGTGTGAGTTCACGTGACACTAGCTTCCAAATGTTATGTGTTTTTTTTTTTTTTTTTTTTTGGGATTGTGAAGTGCCCAGATTCTGTTGAAGTTTTTGTAATTCGCTCCATCGGTTCTATTTTTCTGTGTAGAGAACTCTTCAAGCGTTGTTTTGATTCCGGCAGAAAAAAAACTTACCAGCAGCACGAACCACCCCAACAAGATCCTTCCCTTTCCCATCTGTCAGCTCCAACTCATCTCCTCTCTTCCTGATTCCTCGAATTCCTCCCGTACCTGCTCTCAATACCCTTCTCTCCCAACTGCAAACCCTACTGCTACTAGTGTTTCCTAACACCTAGCCGTCGCCTCTCCCTCTCACCCCGCCGTTGCCCCTCTCTTTTACCCCGCCGTCGCCTCTCACTCCCACCCCCCTGTCGCCTCGCCCTCCCACGCCGCCGTCGCCACTCCCTCCCACGCCGCCGCCGCCGCCTCTCCCTACCATCCCGCCGCCGGCTCTCCCTCCTATCCCGCCGCCGCCACTCCCCTCCCATCCCGCCACCGCCACTCCCCTCCCATCCCGCCACCGCTTCTCCCTCTTATCCCGCCGAATTCTCCCCCTCCCGTCCCGTTTCGCCACTCTCTCTCATCCCGCCGTCGCCACTCTGTCCCATTCCGCCGCCGCCTCTCCCTTCCATTCCGCCGCCGCCTCTCCCTTCCATTCCGCCGCCGCCTCTCCCTTCCATTCCGCCGCCGCATCTCCCTCATCCCCGCCGCGCCACTCCCTCCCGTCCCGCCGTGGGGAGGTTTGTGAGCATGGATAAGGATGGTGCGCGAACGAGAGCTGGTGCGCGAGCGCGGGATGGTCTTCGAGGCACCGTCATTTGCAGGTGCGTTTATTCCTCCCACCCCTCTGAAATTCCATTGTTCTCCTACCTTATTTGTCCTTTCTGTGTGTAGACTTGCCTCGTCTTGCGTTGCACTACCGATTGAAGAAGGGGAGAGAGGGAGCGCGAGGGGAAGCGAGCACGCAGGAGAGTGCGCGTGAGAGAGCGTATGTGAGAGAGAAGGAAGATCTGGAGGGAGCACGAAGCGCGTGTGGGAGAGAGAGGCGGGATGAAGAGTGTGTGCGCGCTTGCGCCGTTTGTGTGGGTGCCTTGGGCGCTTGCGCCTAATCCGTTTGCGCTTATGTCGCTTGCGATTAGGGCTCTGCACCATGGGCGTTTGCGCTTAGGGCGTGTGTATGTATGTGAGTGGTTGCAAGAGTGAGTCGAGAGTGTGCGAGAGGGCGAGTGCTTGTGTGGGTGTGAGTGCAAGAGTGAGATGCGCGCATGCACTCGAGGTTGAGTGCGGTTGTGAGCGGAAGGGCGAGTGCGAGGTTGAATTAGAGAGCAAGTGCATGAGTGAGTGCGTCAGTAGTGAGAAGGTGAGTGGGAAAGCAAGTGTGAGAGTGAGTGCGAGTGTAAGTGCGAGGGCGAGTTTGAGGGTGAGTGCGAGCATGAGTGTGTGTGTGCGTGCGAGGTTGAGTGCAAGTGCGTTCGAGTGTGTGTGAGGGTGAGTGCGAGGATGTGTGCAAGGGTGTGTGTTTTTGTGAGTGTCAAAGAAGAGTTGAGAGTATATTTGTGTGAGTGAAGAGTGAGTGCGAGAGTGTGAGGCTGAGTGAGTGAGTTGGTGGCTGCAATGTTGAGTGCAAGGGTGATCGCGGTGTGAGTGTAAGAGTGAGTGCGAGGGTGAGCACGAGTATGTGCAAGAGCAAGTGGGAGAGTGAGGGCGAGTACGAGTGCGAGAAGGAGTGCGAGCGTCAGTGTGGGTGTGACTGTAGGTGCGAGTGTGGGTGTGAGTGCGAGTTGAGTTCGAGTGTGTGTGCGCCGTGTGTGTGTGTGCGTGTTCGAGTGAGTGCGAGGGTGAGCCGAGCACGAGTCCGAAGGTGAGTGAGGGTTTATGTGTGTGTTTCTGTGAGTGTCTCTAAGAACGGTTGAAAGTTACTTGTGTGTCCATGGATGGTTGCGAGCGTGAGTGCGAAAGAGTGTGAGGGAATGAGTGCGGGAGTGCGAGAGTGAGTGCACGCATGCACTTGAGGGTGCATGTGAGTGTGTGTACGAGGGTGAATGCGAGAGGAAGTGCGAGACTGAGGTGCGAGGATGAGTGTCAGGTTGAAGGCGAGGGTGGCTGCGAGGGTGGCTGCGATGTATTGCGTGCGTGCTGGCATGGTACGTGTGAAGACACGAGGTCTTATACCGAATCACCTTCACGAGATGTCAAATTTGATTGTTTTCGACCCTCATCTTTCTTTTCAGTACTTCATTCTTCATCATCATATTTCTATAATGCCTACCTCGTTTCTTGTGCATCGGGTGGGCTGCATTCCTGTTATTTGTTTTCCTGTGCTGTGCAGGGCATGCAAATTGTATTCTCTGCTTTTCTTTTTGTTTGTGCAGGGAGTGTCAGCTGCATTATCAGTTTTTCTCTCTTGTCCAGGGAGTGTGGTGAGCTGCATGCGCTGTTTGTGCTTTCTTGTGCAGGGAGTGCTGCACTACGGGAGGGTCGAAAGAAAAGGGGATATTGGAAGGGAGGGGGGGATGGGAGATGAGGGAGGGAGGGAGGGGAATGTGGGACAGGCTAACGATGATTTATACATGTCTGAACTCCATTCTTTACGCTTGCATTGCATGTTCAATAGCGGTAGTATGCTTTTGTGTTTGTTTGCGCGTGTATGTATGTGCGTGAGTGAGCCTGTATTTGTCTGTGCTGTGCATACATGTGTAAACGCATGTTGGTGTTGTTTGTGTCTGTTTTGGGGTGTGGTGCTAACTGCCTCGTATATGCAACTGGGGTTGTGATCGTTGGTGGGGCAGCTTTGCTCGCCTCTTCCATACCAGATCAATCTCATTTGCATAATCGATGCATTCTAGCACTAGCTTCGAAGCATTCACAACTATTGTCCCTCGTTTATGTACGTGTTTGTGTGCTCTCGTTTGTGTAACGTGTTGTCTGTTTTGGGGTGTGGTGCTAAGTGCTTCGTGTATGCAATTGGGGTTGTCATCGTCGGTGGGGCAGCTTTGCTCACCTCTTCCAACCATATCAACCTCAGTTGCAGCATTGATGCATTTAGTGTTCGCCTCGAAACATGCACGATTTCGAAATGCTGTTTTTGTACACGTTCTCTCGTGGTAATTTCCCCTCGGGTTTTTGTCCTACGGAACCAATTACTCCATTCGCCGTATTTATCGACGACTATGGAATGATTGGGTACATTTGGTTTCACATTTTGTGGGACTTACGTGAACAGTGATTCCTTCAAAATTGATGGGGGAAAATCACTGTTCACGTCAGTCAACCGAAAAGTGAAAACGAATGTATAAGGTTGCTACGCAACCCAAAAATTATGTTTAAGCCCATAGCCTGTCACACTGCACTGGTGCTCTGTGGACAAGATGAAAGTCATATAGTAATCAGTTTACATGATGTTACCTTGTATTGACAATGAGTGCTGGTGTTGGTGTATTATCCGATTGTATCCTCATCATTGTCACCCTAGCTGTGACGGGGACTTCTCTGTGTGGGCCAACCTTGGGATCACACCACCACCAGCGCACCATTTCTCCATTCAGGATTCACATTGGTGGGAATCGCTGGCTTTGTAGGTCGGAGATTAGGATCTAGGTCGTCCGCACCTTACCTCTGGTACACTCTCGTCCGACGCGTGCTGCGCATATTTAACCTCTTGATCGCTTCGTAACGCGGTTGCGGTAGCGATGGCGCCGCGCGTGCTTGGCCTGCTGGCTTTGATCGCGATCTCGGTGGTGGGATGCGTCGCATTCTCGGAGGAGCGACCGACGGATCAGCGCATCCTCGTGCTGCTAGACGACCTCAAGAATAAGGACTCCTACTCTATCTTCTTTAAGAACCTCGCAGGTAATTAAGAACGTCGCAGATAGCCACGAATCATGGAGGTCGTTCGCGATTTGCAGGAGATTCACAGATGTTCCAGAGGACCGTTTTATTGAAGAGCTCCCAGTCAATGAGAATTTTCCTGTTGGAATTGAGACGTTCGCAGTCACCTAACAGTACGGATTGCGCTAGATCTTGGGTTTCCGCATTACAGCAGGATGTTTTGCAGATCGAGAGTCGTTAAGTTCCCACCTTTATCACAGGGCAAGCGTACGGCGACAGTCCCATAGCATGCGAGGCTAAACATAGCTGACCAACAAATTGGCGACGCTGACACTACTTCCTGAGTCGCCGACACTGACATAGATTTAGTTTGATGCGTTCTAGTCACTGACATAGAAATAGTTTGATGTGTTCTAGTCACTGACATAGCTACGTGATTGGCGACTCCGCAATACCTATATCTGCGACACTGACATAGCTTACTGAACAGGCGACACTGGCAAATGTGACCGAATTAGCAACACTCATAGTTCACATAATCTGCTCGGCATCTTTCAAGATCTGGCCGCGCATTGCGATACGATCCTTATCGGCCAGTCACATATCCACTAATGCGCCATGTCTGACTCATCGTCGTGCATTCAGCATTCACAATGATCCCATCTCGTGTCCTCAGCTTGTAGCTTTCCGCTGACGTCCCCATCACTCGCGGCCAGCGTCTCATTTGGAACCTCCTCCTTTGATTCTCGCCGTTCTTCCTTTTTCCCCGCCTCTCCCCTCTCTACGTCCTGGTCTTCCGTTCCGCAGATCGCGGGTACGAATTGGATTTGCGCGCGGCGAGGGATTCGAGTCTCGTGCTGCAGAAGTACGGCGAGTACCTCTACGACGCCGCCATCATCCTCGCGCCCAAAGTCTCTTGTACGTGTTTCTTTCTATCTGTGTTTTCTCTAATGCTGCGTTATAAGGTGACTCATTAGCGCCTCTACGATGCCGTTATCATCCTCGGCCTCAAAGTCTCATGGTACGTCTTGCGCTTGCACGTCCATTCTTAAAATCACGCTGTAAGCTGAGCTGGCACCTCTACGACGCCGCCATAATCCTCCACCCCGAATTCTCGTGTACGTCTTGCGTCCTCACTTGTGATTGATGAAGTTGTGTAGTAAGGGTGAACGAGTACCCCTACGACCCCGCTATCGCCCTCGCGCCAACGTCTCCTGTACATCTTGCGATCTCGCGTGTGAATGATGAAATCCCGCTCCAATGCGACTCACTAGTACCTCTACCACGTCGCTATCATCCTCTACCGCATGGCGCACACGTTGCCGCACACGCTGCTTCCTCCCCCCACCTTCCCCGTGCTCCCACGTTCCCCGCCCCCCTCATTTCCCAGCATTCGGCGGCGTGGTGGACGTGCCAGCGATCCTTGACTTCGTGAAGTCGGACCACGACCTCATCCTCGCCTTTTCGTCCTTCATTCCCTCACCCCCCCCCCACCTACCCCGTGCTCCCCATCTCTTAGCGTTTGGCGGCGTGGTGGACGTGGCGGCGATCCTCGACTTCGTGGACTCGGGCCACGACCTCATCCTCGCGGCGGACAGCGGCGCGTCCGACACCATCCGCGATATCGCGCTCGAATGCGGCGTGGACCTCGACGAGGTACGTGTTGCCGCTGCTCGCGCCTCTCACATCTCTGTCCGACACCATCCCGCGATATTGCACTCGAATGCGGCGTGGACCTCGATGAGGTATGTGCTGACGCGCCGCGCGGCCATCACTCACGCCATCCGCGAAATGTCGCGCGAGTGCTGTGCAGTTGGCGACGGGACGTGGTATATGTTGATGTGACTCACTTTCCAATTCCATCCGCGATATTGACTGATACGATTGCAGAACCCCAAGGGCGTGGTGATCGACCACCAGCAGTACGCGCGGGTGAGCGGGCGCAGGGACGACCACACGCTCGTGCTCGGCAGCAACCTCATCAACTCCTCCGTCATCCTCGGCGCTTCCCCCATCAAGGTATGCTTTGCTAGAATACCCTTGCCATCCCAGTGGAACCGTGTAAAGGTGGCTTGTATCCGGCTGCTTGTTCGTTCCAAATTCTTGTGGTGGCATCTCCGTCTCTTTTGCGTGCAAACGGGATTTGGTTTTGCTCTACTTGTCGTTCCTCTCCTTGTTTCTCTCCTCCACCTTCACTCTGCACCGTTCTTTCTTCCGCTGCATTCCCACCCTCGGCATGGCTGCACCACAGGGCCCCATTCTCTTCCAGGGGATCGCCATG